ATTAAACTACTCAACTTAAGGTCGTAATGTAATTTTTTTCCTAAAGTGATCACAATTCTTTTAACAATCTTGAAATCTTACTATAAGTGTCTTTTTCTGATTAGTTGTCATTGCTTCTAGTTCACTAAGTTTCTGTATGTTTAGTGATTATTGTTTTTTGTTACAATGTATTTACGGATTTGTACCAATTCTTTCTGTATTACCAGTATGGGGGTTGTGGAGATTATTAAGTTTTTGATTGAGATTATGAACCGATCGATGTTAGACCACCACCTTTGGAAACCTGGAAGTACTGGACGGCCTTTTCGTCCTTCCTATCGTGGGACTCATCAGCAGTGCGCATGCACGATCCCGCTCGCGGGATTCGAACCCAGAACCTTCGGTCTCGCGCGCGAACGCCTAACCAACTGGACCACTGAGCCGGCATCCAATGGTGATTGTGTCGCGCAATTTCGTGGATTGGTTGATGCTAGATACTATCACCATTGGATGCCGGCTCAGTGGTCCAGTTGGTTAAGCGTTCGCGCGCGAGACCGAAGGCCCTGGGTTCGAGTCTTCCTGTATTGTTCGTACTACCTCGAATACCAAGTTTTTCTATCAAATTCACCTTCTTCTTATGTTAGCTATCAAGTGTTGATGCGTTTTATGTTAGTTTCAGTTATAGATTACAAAAAGAACTAATCTTATTAAAGTACCCGAATCGTTTTTCTAGTTTCTGAAGTATTTTAGATCTGTACTGAACCTCAATAACGACATACGACAATGACATTTGACGTAAACTACCGATAGGACTGTGAGCTTTTATGAAGATAGTTAAAAATCCCTATCGAGTATCAATTTCAAGATGCTTACAATTATCATTCAGAATTGCGAATCCAATTTTAATTTGATCTAAATATCAAGTATGTAGTTATCCGTTTTACATATGTTGAACAGAGAATTCCCCACTACACAGAGTCAGACATTGCGCTGCCAGATAAATGTAAAACCTGAGGAAGTTTCACTATATGGAATTTTAAAATACTATTCAATGTTGCCTCGGAGGTCTCAATTCAACTCATGTACTACTCCATGAAAAGCGAGTAATTCTCAATTGCTAAATGAGAACAAAGTGGTAAGTTTGAGTATTTGTGACAGATAAATATTTCACCTTAAATATATCTTTATTAACTATCACATATATGGTTGAAGGCGCGGATTTTTATTGTTTCTATTAATCATATGTAATGCGTATATGGATATGCCATAGACATAGAGTTCATCGTTTGTGTGTGGGCTGTGATACTGCCCGGGTGCCCAAACCGAAGCAGGTGGTTATCTTAGGGGGCCACACCCCGAGCCTTTGACCTAAAGGTCTAACCCACAAGGCAGTGGAGCATCGTAAGGAGATGCAATCCCATGGTAGCCGGTGACCAAAGATTGGTTCATACGCCATTTGTTCCCGCAGGATACTGGAGCCCATGTGCACCATTGGTTTGTGATCCGGTTAAAGCGCCGGACATTCGCTTTTCGTCCTCTCATTTTCGTAAACAACACCCCCGCCACGAGAAGGCAATGAGTAGGACTTCCCTGGCAGAGGCTGTATAAGCGCGGCCGTGTGAGAGTATTTCGAGAGGGAGAGCGGACTCACCCCTATATACAAACACCTCAGGCAGAGTGAGGGCATACAACCACCTCTCTCTATTGTTCCATTCGAGTAGTGGGGTTAGGCAGGGTTGCCCAATCTCACCATTCCTCTTCAACTTTGCCATCGATGACATTCTGGAAACAGCTCTGATGAATGTAAGTAATGGCGGTGTGGATCTGTTGCCTGGAGAAAGACTTCTCGACCTTGAGTATGCGGACGATATTGTCTTACTGTGCGATAATGCTCAAGGCATGCAATCCGCACTTAATCAGTTGGCAATCAGTGTCCGTAGGTATGGTATGTGCTTTGCACCTTCCAAGTGCAAAGTACTTCTACAAGACTGGCAGGATTCCAATCCTGTACTCACCCTGGATGGTGAGCAGATAGACGTAGTCGAGAAGTTCGTGTATCTGGGTAGCTGCATAAGTGCTGGTGGGGGTGTGAGTGATGAGATCAATGCACGTATAGTGAAAGCCAGAGCGGCTTATGCCAATCTGGGCCATCTTTGGCGCCTTCGTGATGTTAGTCTGGCTGTAAAAGGTCGGATCTACAACGCGTCGGTGAGAGCAGTTTTGCTCTATGCTTGTGAAACCTGGTCTCTCCGAGTTGAGGACGTTAGACAACTTTCTGTGTTCGATCATCGCTGTCTCCGAAGGATTGCTGACATTCAGTGGCAACACCATGTCAGTAATGCAGAGGTTCGGCAACGTGTGTTCGGGCACAGAGATAATAATTCAATTGGTGTCACCATCTTGAAACACCGACTTCGGTGGCTTGGACATGTTCTCCGAATGTCGTCCCAGAGAATTCCACGTCGTGCATTATTTGCCGACTCTGGGACTGGTTGGAAGAAGCGGAGAGGTGGTCAGTGCATGACATGGTGTCGTGGTATGAAAGAAAGGTGCAAAGGACTGGCTTCTGTCGGTCCTTCACGACTCCCTGGTTGGGGTCCGAGAGATGGTGCTACACAGTGGCTAGAGACGTTATCAGATATGGCTCAGAATAGAAGCCAGTGGCGATCCTGCTGTAACCTTCTTTTACTTTCTTCATAAAAAGTGGTTGTGTCTCCCTTACCTGAAAGATTTCTTCCGATTGTACCTTTGCGTTCCCTATTTACTAGCACATTACCTTACACCAATCTCTTCGTTATTGTTCTCTTTTTTTGTGCTCCTTAGCTTCTTTTTTTTTCTTTCTTTGTATTCCTCTTCGAATATCCATTGTTCTGTGTGGCGCATATATATTGGCGCTCTCTTGTTCCAATATTCATGTGTCCAAATAAATAAATAAATATGGATATGCAACTCACTAGAATAGACTGTTTTATAAAACAAATCAAATTTCAGTCATTACCAGACAAAAATATGCGATAAGGTCATGTGGGAATAGTACAATCAGTCAAATTATTGGTTTCATATGGTTAAAAACGCTTCAGATTTGAACCTAGTTGAAGCAAGTGAGTATCGGTTACTTAGTGATAGATTTCAAGTTAAAATAATTTACGATCCAGTAGATGTCACTATTATACTAATACTTCGTGATAAATCATCTGACGGAACGCTTGAATCGGTTTTCTAAGCTATTTTAATAACCCCAGGCTAACTCTACACGACAACTTGAGCACGAGAGAAAAGGAGCGAAAGATGGAAAGAATGCTTTACTCCAAAGTTCGTATATATACAGAAAATCTAGGGTATCTATAGCGTTTCACATGGCCTTGCGTTCTTGAAATCTTACTAGACGTAGTAACAGGATAAGTAATCCTTCAATCAGAAATGTGACACGTGACTCCCCACTTTCTAGATGTTTCTGAGATGCTTCTACTGAATGCTGATTGGACAAAATGTTTCCAAGAGTTTTCACAGGTTTTTTCAATGAATATTCTGGGTCTCCCCAACACTTTGATTATTGATTCAGAATATAATATATCCAAACAAGTTATCACTCTGCTATGACGTGATTGATGGATTAAATGATGATAATTATAGCTAAATTAACATTTCTTTTTCCATTAAAAAATATTTAAAATCACACGGAAATGACCATACAAATCCATAATTAAAAAACGAAGTTTAGCGAAGGGATCTCTTTTCAACGAATTTATTATCAAGCTGTACAATCGTAGATATATGAAAATTTTGTTTTTGTAAAAGTACTAATTCCGTGAGGAAATGTGAACACAGTTAACCATGACGTAATAAAAAAGGTTATCCATAATTATCAATTGGACAGACTAAGAAAATCGTAAACACAAAAAAGACAGTCACACAATTACACACGCAAATTCAAATATAAACACTTATTTTATGATTGCTTTAATATAACCATCAGTCGTTAAATCTTGTTGATTACAAGAAGCAAAAATCAATGTAAAAGTGAGATGCGAAGACTAGTTTAATTAATTACTAAATATGCTACTAGTTTCTCTCCTTTTTTCAACAGAATTGATGATTACCAGACAGGGATACTGAAGTATTACTTATTGTTATTTGAGTGGAACAAAAATGTCCTTAGCTTGTGTTAATTGCTGTTGACCTTGAGTGAATTATTGAAAAATTGTAAATATTTGCATCAAGTGATTGTTAAGTTGTGCATATAAATACAAAACACAGGTTTACACTACAGTGTGTTTGTCTGAGTCATACTGTTAGATTATCATACTTGGCTGTGAGTTTATCCAGCTCCAATCAGTTGGGTTGTAGGTTAGACATAGAATCAGAAGTGTAACCATAACCTTTTCACTTTTATAACATAGAGTGATTAACAGGAATCCAAGTGATTGACGCACTGACTGTATCACCAAGACTAAACGAAAACTTAACATATTTCCGAAATAAAAGGGGAAACATACACATTAGTCGATCCGATATTATGAATATGAGTCACTGAGATGCAACAGATATGAGAAGTCAGTTTACTCACTGTTCAAGGATAAACTCTTTCTTATTGAACGTAATATTGAGAATTTAAATGATATCAGTGACTTCAGAATAGCGACAACAATTAACATAATCAGCGAAATCTATAAAAACCCTACTTGAAATGAATTAGAAACGTGACGTTATCGCTAACAGTCTATACACAACAAGATTATGTAAAATAAAAACTGAAATGATGTTCAGTAGAACAAACTAATTGGTGCAATAAAGTTACCCTTCTTTCTAATAAAAAGTAAAATGTTGAATTTCATCTAAGGGAATTCAAAAAAATGACAATCAATACAATTAGTCCGTTCATAACTATTACACTGACCAACATATAAAAAACATTTAAATGTAAATAAAACTTATATTTCTATACAGTTGTATTCTGTTTTAGAACAAATCCCAAAAAAAACTATTACAAGTAATTATTGAATTGAAGTGCCTGAAGTTAATCAACGCCAACGACGTGGAGGAGGCTGAACACGTAATCGTGGTTGTGAATTACGTTTGAACACTTGATATTCTTTTAATTTACTGTTATAAGGCTCTGGAAGTTTTCCAAATGGTCCACCGAAATCAGGCATTTTTTCTTTGATTTCATTGATAAGAGTACTCTTGTCTGTTAACTGTGTTCAAGATAAAAACATGATAAATAAAATAATTTACTTTAGAAAAATACACAATAATACACTTGTTGTATTTCGACGAGAATTATGAATGGTAACTCTTGAGAAATATTTATGGATCAATACAATATATATTTTTTTACTGTATAATTATTAAGTAGCTAAACTATGCATATTCATGTTTCTCTTATTATAAGCTCTACTTTGACTTAGAAACTATTATTAAATGATTTACGATCCTTGAGTTATGTCCAGTCTCAAACATTCACAACCACTTTTGGCTAAATCTTGTACAAATGTTGTTTTCTATTTTATCATACGATGTGGTCTGTTTGGCTTGTATATAAACCCAGTATGTTTGAGATACATGATTCATATTTTGGAGGCTGATAATGGTGTTCTGGACACAACAGGCAGGGCTAAATGGAACTTGTTGTTAAGATATGCCTTAAACTAAATTAATTCATTAGTAATGAAATAGAAATTCAGTCATAAAACAAGCAAAAACCATACTTGGATAACAGACAGACTCAGTTTTACACTGATTAAACCAAAAACCAGTAAAAGAGACACCGAGTGAAATTCGCGTACTCTAACTATACTACTTGAGTAATTAGAAATCATTCCTTTTTATTTTACGGGTCAAAGTAATTATTGTTAAGCTAACTGTTCTCTGATCAATTAACATATGTTCTATTAAGGCAACCATACTGAATCGGTTATTTTTGTGCTTATCAGTGTTGAGGATTGAGTGTTATGTTTATCCATTTGAAAATGGGATTTAAGTTGAGTGAATCATTATTTATTGCAGAACCATTCATTATTTATGCTATTCCTTATTTAAACATATGAACATTGGTACAAGGAGGCACTAAATAGATATGCGCCACATAATCCATTCGATTTATGTGAGGGCTGTGATACCACCCAGGTGCCCAGACTGAAGCAGGTGGTCTTCCTAGGAGGCCACACCCCGAGCCTTTAACCTGAAGGTCTAATCCACAAGGCAGTGGAGCAGCGTTAGGACATGCAGTCCCATGGTAGCAGGTAACCAACAATAAGTTCATACTCCATTTGTTCCCTCAGGATTCTAGAGCCCATGTGCATTATTGGTTTGGAATCATGGTTTTCTAACTCCCCTAGGAGGATCCTCTATATCCACAAACCCGATTAAAGTGCCGGACACTCGCTTTTTGTCCTCTCAATTTCGAAAACAAGTCCTGGCAGTGGTTGTATGCACGTGGCCATTTGAGAGCATTTCGAGAGGAAGAGCTGACTGTCCCCACTCTCGGTCGTACCAGGGCATTTCCGAGAGGTCAAGAAAGTTTTGAATTTAACCGACCTCCAGTGAGTTACTTCAGTAAATTTAACATATACTGATTACCCTCTCAAATAAATCAACATCGAATTTACCAGCAAATTGTTTAGCTTTATGCTTAGTCTATATTCCTTGTTAAATTTCTCAGATCACTAGTGACCAATACAAGTAGCGATATGAGCTACCAACATAAGATGAATGACTGTAGATTCGAACGCCGCTCCACGTACCTCGGATTGGGTAACTGGAGGTAGTATCATTACTCCTCGAAGTGAATGTGACTCATATCCAAGTACTTAGTGAATGAGTCACTTATTATTATTATTATTACTATTATTATCATTATTATTAATATTATTATTAATGGCTTTATTCAATATTATATTTTGGTACAATATAGAATTCTCAGCACAGGGTATTTCAACAAGTTACGCAACAACAAAAAACAATAAAATACAAAAAAATGGTTTAAAAAGAGAAAGCCCGAAAAACTGTACAACTTTTAAAATTAAGGACATGTTAAGAATGCAGGTTATTGACTAGGTTCACTCTAACAACCTGTTCATCACAGAGCATATTTTGCCAGGTAAGGTATTATAGAACTTTTATACTTTTGCTTACGTGAATGGATTTTAATGTAATTACGTCTCGTCCTACCAGAAGATATACAAGGAGAAAGATAAGAGTGAAAGGGAAAGTTAGTATCTGATAAGATAACACCTGCCAGGAGTTTGCATGACTTTAGATGTCTATCAACAACCATATTAATTATGACCTCGAAAGATTCACCATACACCTTGCTAACTACTTTCAGCACTCTCCGTAATACAGCAAAGTCTTTTCTCAAAAGCCCGGGAAAGAATAATGGAGAACAGTAAAGAATAATAGGTAATATGCAAGAATTGACAAATTGTAAGAGTAAATGACGAGTAATCCCAAGAGCATGCAATCTCTTTATGTAGTAAGTCAGACGGAAAACCTTCTTCGATAACAATAAAACGTGGGAAGACCAAGAGAGATCAGAGGAAAAGGTGACACCAAAATAATTGACCTTCGACACTGTGTTTATCAAAGAGTCTTCAATGGCACAAGCATTATGGGATCTCAAAATAGTATTTAGATGCCGTTCATGTCTCATGCTAAAGTTAACAGCTTGACATTTAGACGGATTAAGTATGAGACCATTACCAACAGACCAACAATCAATACGAGACAAAAACTCATTCATTTCTATGGGATGTAAAGAAGAAGAGATAGGCATACATACAGTGAGATCATCCGCATATTTCACAAAAGTGTTTTCTGTGGAAGATGGCAGATCATGCAGAAAAAAAAGAGAAAAGAAGAGGTGAAAGAACAGCTCCTTGTGGTACACCTTCATGAGACAATAGAGACTCTGAACACTTTCCTCCAACTACAGTATACTGTTCCCTTCCAGAAAGGTAGGAACATAGCCAGTTGATTATCCAGCTGTCAGTGTTGACGCTGATTAACTTGTTAAGTAAACGTTGTCTTGGTATAGAATCAAAAGCTGAAGTATAGTCCAGAAAAGCACATAGAACATACTTCTTTCCCTTTTCTAAGTTGAACACTATGTTGTGATGCAGAACAGCAACAGCATCTAAGGTGCTTCGTTTCCATCTGTAAGCAAACTTATATGGATCAATATGCTCTTTTATCGCAGACTGAAGTGGAAGTATTAATCATTTTTCCATTGTTTTGAGGAAGAGTGAAGTTATTGCAATAGGTCTAAATTTTACATGCTTATCACCAGATGCTTTCTTGGGTACAGGGATTATCTTCATCTTTCTCCACATTTTCGGTATGAGATTGGATGAGAAGGATCTGTTAATGATAGTTGTGAACGGATAACATAGGACGTCAGCACACTTTTTAAAAAGGATGTTTGGAATACCATCAGGTCCCAAACATCGAGATGAATTAAGTGACTGGAGACATCTTCGTACATCAGTTTCAGTGAAAGTAGGAACACAGCTATTATTTAAACTTGTGGATAAAGGGAGCATCACATCAGATGACTGACGTACAAAAGACTTATTTAAGTCACAAACATTCAGCTGGTTATCGCTCCTAAACTGTCTGTCACCTATAAGTTCTTTAAAGAGTTTCCACATACTTGGAGAGTTTTTGCAAGACAAGAGTTTTTGAGTAAACATAGAGTTGAGACGTCTAATCTCTAGGTTTGTCAGACCATTTAGCTTACGAACTTCATTAGAGTTCTTAAATTGTATTTAATGATTTGGGAGCAACGTATAAGGTTGCTAACAATTATAAGCTTAAGAAGAATGTTATTATAATCAAGTGTTTCGCAAATAATGATAAATTGAAACTAACTACCATTTAAATGGTTTTGTTGAAATACTACCTTTATAAACATTTATTGAGAAATTGTACGAAATGATCATTCATTTCATAGTTCTGTGAAGTAAACATGATAGATAACGGCAAAACAATAAATCAAAAGTTTATTGATGTCCAATCCAGATGTAGTTTTGTTCTAATACTTGGTTGTTTATTTGTTTAATTCATATAAAGTTTGTTACCACCATACACCAAAAACTGTATGCGCCACACAAAATATTTGTATTTGGAGTGCGATTCTGTCTAAAGCAACGATGTTCGGCTGGTTGAAAACTGTCAAGCATACACCATTTGTGTTACAATGTTTAGCGACTCGTTATGTCCAGTAATTGTTGTCTCGGGAGGACTAACCCCTCTCATCCAGTGAAAGCATAAATTGGGAAGACGGTAATTCAATAAGTGGGATATCGGGTTGTGTGACTTGGCTACACAGCCTTTAAATAGCCCATCTATAAATCTAACAGGTGGTCAGTTTATTATATAGAATGGTATAATGAAGAACAATAATGTTCCGTTAGAATCATGATTAGATTCTGAAGATTACGGAAATTAGTTGTGGATACGAATATAACCCAAAGGTCAACTGGTTATAGCTCACTGCTACATTTCTTGTAAAAAGAATGATGTAGTTTGAAATGAGAGGAATCTATCTTGGCTGAGTTGAACCATATTGTTTGATACATACCAAATTAATATCATATTTATTTGTTTATGGAACGATTTCGCAGTTAACAACTTTCACACCACTGTAACTTCACAGTGAGTGACGAATTACATAGTGCCCTATTTTACAAAATCTTTTCTATTTTGTAAATAAATGAACAATCGGATCACAAAATTAAGCAAACACCTTCGAAATAATATAATGACTAATGGTCTTTTGGACACATTTCGATAGTGATTACCATCAGAAGCAAATGTACATTAATAATGGGAAAATGAAAGTTAAAATGAATACGACTGTTCGGTTTAATAAATTCACTAAAAACACAGGAAAATGGTTGTTTCTTTTGTAAAAATATGATTGACTAAGTTAAAAGAACGGCACTGAAGAACTAATTTCTATTTTAAGAAACACTTCAGTATATATGTCGTCCATTTCTGTGCTATTTATACTTAAATCTTTAAGTTAGTTTGATCATTACATTTAGTATTGCCGTTAATTGCGAAGAGTAATACTATTCACATTGCATTAAAACGCCTAGGAAAGACACGATTCCAATAAACATGGATAGTATGTATAATAAGTAGACTACAAAGATAGTTTTCTATAAAAGGGAAACATACTTTAAAGTAGAATATATCATTTGGATGTGGACGTTTTGAAGTATACAAACGCGTTGATTTCTTTGATTTCTTTGATTCGCCACTAGATCTTAAAGCATTCATTTCTGTTTCACTAAGTTGCAATTTGGTCATATCACCAAATTTCTCATGATAATATTTATCTTCTTCAGAAGATGGAATTAAATGTTTAGCTGATGATTTATCTATAAGATAGTTTCTTGGTGCCATTCCGTCAGCAAGATAAGGACGAAGTGACTCACTAGAAGTAATTTTATCCACAGGATGTAACATAGCAGATGTTAAAAGTGAGATAGCTTCATTATTTACAGTGAATGTTTCGTTATGTCTGGTGAAGTAATAAAAATATGTCAGTATTAATTTTTACTCTTTCAATATTTACAAAAAAAGCTGACGAGTATAATAGCATATCATAGTTCGTTGGGATAAAGGTTGTGGACGGATATCCCTTTACATCGTAACTACACTGAAGAAATGTTACACCCACTCTACTTACACATGACATACTAAAAGTGAATGGCATTCTGAAGTTTTGTATAACTTCACAGTGCTGCTGCTCTAAAGAGCACTTATTGGAACTGTGATTTGACGACCAAGAATCAGAGATGACAGCCAGATACTAATTTCATTAGCGAATGACAGAATTGAGAAATTCATATTCTCCATTGGTTTATTTGTTAAATGACATCTAATCAGGTTTATTTCTATGTGCTATGTTGTACAGAAATATGTTATTTCACTAAAAGAACCTATTCTTCTATCCGGCGGTCTTGTCTTCACTATCTGTTCATCCTAAGGTTTTCATTCATAATCTGGTATCCTTAGAACTACATAGTACTTGATCTACCACACCCAAGCCCATCAATAAGCGCCGTACTTGGACTCTAAAACAACATTGTGGTTGTCAGTGAAAATCTTTTGGCCATCAAGACGATCATCTCGACTGTCATCAACCCAGTACAACCCGATCTAGAGGTGAAAGCGGACTCATTTCAAACCTATCAAAAGCTCCTTTAGTCGGTTAGCAAAGTGTAAAATTATAACCTCAGGGAGGATGATGTTTCCCACTGTACATATTAATGCGTGCCCAGATAGATGCGCTTCAGATATTATGATGATGTCGTGGAGGTTTGGAGGATGACGAATGACTTACATATCCAGAAAACAATTCAGACAGCTCCCGGATGTTGTGTAAGTCATTTATGTCTGTTGGGGTAACAGCAATGCACCATGCCCTTCCAAGAAGTCACGTTCCCAGGGTTGTACTATTTAACACAAGCTGATCTAAACTTACTCGAACTTGATTGATTCAGCGGGTTACAGTAATCCAATATCATCTTAAATACTGCATGCAACCTAGAGAAAGAACCTAATGAACACAATCATTTTTAACCTGGTTTGGGTCACTTCTAAGCCATAAAAACTATGGAGCTAAATCATTTTCCCGTCTGGAAAGACTACTATCTTACGCGCCGCTGTCTACAGTTGACGAAGAACTTCGTCGTTTTTAGGAAAGAGATATTATAACACCTGGGCTGCACCTATCGCAGCAACCACATTCCAACCATGTCATTTATAAACAATCAAATTAAGCTGTTAGTATAGATAATCTACTTTGTAAACTATTACTACTCAACCAGTTGAGGTTTGAAGTTGTCGATAAAAACCAGTGAAAATAATTCTGTTGATCAAATATCTGTTAGTATGCTACCAACAAACAATGATTATTTCATTGTATAAAATAACGGTAACAACAATAAGACACAATAATAATTAAAACGTACTCTAAATCAGATTGTAATTTACACAATTCTACTCGTGGAGAATACCAAGCTAAATTATATGGTAACATTGAATCCTCAGCTTTCCATAACGATGTTATTGAATTCAATTGAAAGCGTAACAACTGAATATAGTTACCATCCATTAGAATTAGTTGGACGCAAAGTGGATAAGTTAACTCATTATATAAAGTAAAACCTTAAAAAATGTAAACAGAATAGGATTACAAGAAGCGACTAAATTAAACGCTATGAAATTTATACAATGCTAGACGAATTTTCAATACAAATCAGTTGCTGGTTTAAGAAATGGCACCATAAAATGAAACGATGCTATAAATTCCAAAGTTAGTTAAAGGATCCGTGATGAGGACAACAAGTAACACTGAACTGACTGTGATAAAAAAATGCTTGAGAGTTCAGTTCAAGTTATAGATCACGGATAAGTACAGTTAAAATGTTTTACAATGGAATCAGACAGCTGATATTTAACAGCTCATGAAAAATACTTTTGAAAACTATTTTTTCTACATTCTAAGCAAAGATGGATAGTGGCTGGCAGTGGAGTCCAGTTTGGCGCGCATTTCGTCGCATTTGCGACTCGTCAACTGGATGTACTTCAGTCAGTCAGTCAGCTACAACGTAGGACCAGACACATCTGTGCATCAGTCCAAGTTGCCATACCTCATTAGCACAACATCGAATTCATAGAAGTAGTCACTTCAATGGTGGTAATATATAAAAGAAAGATTGAATATAAGGATATAGTACAGGAAGAAAGAATTAGTTCGTAGAAACAAAGATATAAAGCAATTTTAATCTCATAGTTTAAGGGAAGATAGAGAGTGTATACACTGATGCTATTGCGATCGATTCTGAACCATGTCACCCAGAGTCTCCAACCACTGGTCACAATAGTCATGTGGACCCCAACCAGGTAGTCTGCATCTGCCAACATGGCTCAGACTAGAAGTTAGTGACTTTAAGCACTGATGCCACGTTTTGGTTTGGCCGCCCCTAACTTTCTTCCAACCATCCCCTACACTAGTCAGCATTGTGCGTCGTGGTGATCGGTCTTCATACATATGTACCACGTGGCCCAACCATCTCAATCGATGAAGATTCACAACCTAATCAAATAATTTACCATCATGCCGTAATACCCTGAGTTCAACCTCACTATTACTTATCCGGTGATCCCAGCAGATGAGAGCAATATTTCTAAGGCATCTGTGGTTAAATACTAGTAGCTTACGAATATCTTCTACTCTTAACGGCCACGTTTCGCAGCCTTAAAGTAAAACAGAACGAGCTATCGCGTAGTATACTCGTCCCTTAATTGATAGACGGATGTACCTGCATCTCAAAGTTGATTGTGTTTGAAGCGAACGGTAATGCATTCGAGTCGCTGAGTGAACATCGACTCTGAGATGCAGGTACACCCAAGTAGGACGAAACGCGTGCCAAACTGGATTCTACTGCTAGCCACTATCCATCTTTGCTTATAATACTCGTGAAGTAAGGCACTATCGAGGCAATACGCACAGTATGCACATATGCCAATATGAGACTGATCAATTGCAGTCCTAAACATCAATGAAAAGATTCAAGTAAACAATACCAAGTGAATTTATTTTGTCTATATTTTGATTAGGTGAGTGTGTAAACGAAAGTGAAATGAAAACAAACGCAATTAATTGTTTACACTAACCTTGATTGTAAGCTTGGGCTGACGCCCATGCAAATGCTGTAAGAACACCCTCAGCGATTCCATGTCGTATTAAAATATTATTTTTTACATCATCTGGAAGACCAGAACAACTAATTTCATTTCGTACACATTCGGAACGATTTAAATCAAGAACTCCAAGTAAACCAAATTCACAAGGATCTCCTTCCCAGAATGGTGTGCGAGACCAATAACCTGTATTTTTCATAACACAAATTAGAAATGATTAGATACAATTAGGTTTGGGAACAATAATCTTAAAGACAAACAACGTGATTACTACCATCCAGCTCATAGAACGAAATTCCACCACAATTATCTACCTGAGCTACAAATCTTCTCTACCATCTCAAAGTGATTACTAGATGTGATAACTAATTTATATGATCAAACCAATCCTATGAAAAATCGAGTTCAGCCATCAGCGTGCAATGCTTTACATTTCAACTAGTTAGTGAAATGCGACCAATAAAGTCCAACCATGTTAAGTGTAAGGCAGTTACCTGACATTGGAATTGAAGGATAATAACGCAATATGACAGCTTGGTTGAAATTAAAATTATCAACCAATGAATGCTGACTCAGTAGTATAAGCGCTCGAAGCCAGTCCTTGAAGTTCTGGGTTTGATTCTCGGGGTAATCATAGATGTGGGCTGTTTAGTTTCATAGTGGAATGAAATAGCGGTGCACTGCTTTCAGGTTCTCAATGGATGTCGAATTAAAGTCAGTTTGTGATGCAAACTATGAAAATCAACAATCCTTACAACTCCTTACGGTAATGATTAATATAAGTTCACTTCAATGACAGTTTAAAATGAAGAAATGAAAATATGAAATACCAAAGTACTAATCATAATTAAAAAAGTGACAATAATAATAGTATCTATTGTCACGAGTCACCTGCAATAGATCGAGCAAATTCGGAAAAATCGATCGTTCTTGCAAATGGTAAACAATTGAAATTATAACACTCAATATGTTGCAAATCAAATGCTTCTGGGCGATAATTGCATACAATAGGGTTTTCTAGAAAGCAAATTGGATCGTCTAAATTAAAATGCTAATTGTTTAAAAAAAAAGACGGAAATAACTGAATTGTGTGAAAATCTGTGTTATATAATTTAAAAATATGAAGATAAACACAAACACTAACTAATATTTGTTATAATCAGAGATGATCAGTTCAGTTGAAATATCATTCCGTGGTAATAAAAATTAGCTGTCACATTACACAAACGTATGTTAACACATCAAATTATTATAACTAAGAATAATAAGTGCTCTAAGATTACCCGTAATTATATAATCTTTTTTTCTCATTATCCGTCCTACTACATAATATAAATAGGGATCAAAAGTCTAAATTTTCAGTGACGAATTCATGCTTAATCTAACTGACTAACCATCGCACAATTAAATGGCTATACGTATAAAAATTACTATGCAGTCCATAAGTTGAATTCTATATTGTAAGATATATTTGGCAATTTGTCAAATAAAATAATGGCTGATCATACACAACAGTATAGAGCGAGATAGGAATAGTTTTAGACCTATGCAGGAACACGATAATTTATCTACATAAATCTATTCTTGTATTACCGTAAGTTATATATATATATATATATATATATATATATATATATATATATAATATTTTTATACCGAGCCCACTGTCGGCTTGTATTCGTGTTTTTAATTATTACTGTAACATTTACCACGAACTTCCTAGGTATGTAAATATTGAGATTTATTATTTAAAGTGCATGCAAAATACACATTAACAGTAGTTTCATGTGAAATTATGCTTACTTACAGGCTTTAAAGGAAATGGTCCCCGCAACTGCCAAGCTAACTCAGACCGAATACGATAATGTACACAACGTTCGACGTCAACAATTGTCTCGTTTACGGGTTCATAAACATCTTCATTTACATTCTCGGAGTTTTCAAACACTTCGTGATCGACTAGTCGTTTTAAAAATATTTCTATGGTAGCGCGTTCATCAATTTGTGTGGATAACTCGTTAACTAGTGATTCTGTTCTAGCAGATAAAAATGCCCGATATACTGTTTCCATAATCATTGATATTTTTTTGCGTCGATAATCTGCACGTAAATTAAGTCCATTAATACTCTGATCATGGATATTAACAGGTTTACTGTTAACAGAATATAACTCTTCAGAAAAAAGATACTTTAAATAACTCGACAAAATTGGATTGCAGTCGTATGACTCTGGTATCCATGGAATGAGTTTTGTACGCGTGACAAATTGAGAAAATTCTAACATTTCAGGATGTTGTAAAGGAATATCAATGGAATGAAACCACATGTTATCTTCAAGAAAATACAACTCCTGGAGTTTTTCAAATGACGTTGGTATAGTTTTTAAGAATTCACCATGACGAAACCTATAAGTGATGTAAAATAAGATTTTAGAAGTTATAATTGACACTGAAACTGTAGTATAATAATTTACATGTGCAGTAAACCAAAGTGATTTGACGTTCAGAAATACTATATAGGATGACTTAAAAATTGACAAGACACTGAGCATCGGATATACTACTTAAGTCTAATTTGAACCTTAATCCGTTATAACATTAAAAAACAGTCATCGAGCCTCATAGTTCTGAATAAAGAAATGTGTACTCCAGACAACACAAACAGTAACCACTAAATACAATCACATTTCTAATATCCTTTAACATTTAAAACAGACTGTACTAATTATCTTAGTTAAAAAGATACTTACGTAGCTTCTACGAATTCGATGTTTTGCAGTGACATTTATTCTGCACCTTATTAACCAGTGTTATCGAATCCGAATTCTTCCTTCTACATCCTTTACATTTGCAAAGAAATTTTCAACGACAAAAGAATGAAATTCTTATTTCGACATGTCTCTGAACAAACTGAGGTATGGAATATCATACGAACAGCAGTTCTCTATCGAAATCTATCATGGAAAATCCTTTCCAGTTGTTTCCAATTGATATTGATTCTTTCGATGTCTGCTTCCGATTCTCGGGGCAGTGTGTTTCTTAGTCTTCCTCTTCCCTTCAGGATTCCAAGTTAGCACTCGCTTCGAGATGCATTTGGTGATTTTCGTAATGTATGTCCTGTTCACCAGAAACGTCTTTTCTTAATCTTCTCTTTACCCCGAAGCTGGTTTGTTTGCTCCTACAGTAGACTGTTGCTGGTGGTATTCGGTCAACAGACATTGATTACCTTGCGTAGACAATTGTTTATATTTACTTGTACATTTTTGCTGATGGTTGTGGTAGTTCTCGAAGTTTCGGCTCCGTACAGTAGAACTGTCTTGACGTTCGTATCAAGGATTCTGACTTTGGTGTTGGCTGACAGTTGTTTTGAGTTCCATGTGTTCTTCAGTTGTAGGAATGCCACCCTTGCATTGTCAATCCTTGTCTTTACATTTGTATCAGATCTTTCTTGTTTATCGATGATGCTGTCCAGGTATGTGTAAGTTTCCACCTCTTCTACAGCTTCTCCAGCAAATGTGATTTGGTTGGTGTTCTCTGTGTTCTATTTAAGGATCTTGCTTTTTCCCTTGTGTATGTTGAGGCTTCTGCTACACTGGTTGTCTTCATCTGCATTTTTTCGTGTGTATGAGATAGAAGAGCTAAGTCATCTGCAAAGTCCAAATCGTCTGGTCGCATACGAGTTGTCCATTTTATTCCGTTCTTCCCCTCAGATGTAGAGGTCTGCATAATCCAGTCGACCACCATAAGAGAAAGAGGGAGATTAAGCAGCCTTGTCTGATTCCAGTCCTCACTTGGAATGCGTCTGTCAGCTGTCTTACATGCACGGCTTTTCAGTGTAGTCCGTCGTGTAAATTCCGTTTGATGTTGATGATTTTCCCAGGCATATCATAGTGTAGAAGAAGGCTCCATAAGATTATACTATCCACACTGTCACACAATTTCGCATAGTCGAAGAAGTTTATGTGTAGTGACGAATTTCATCCAACCAACTTCTCAATAACGATCTGTAGTGTCGCCATTTGATCTGTGCACAACTGATCGTTGCGTAATCCAACCTGTTCATCTCGAAGTTTGGCGTTTACTGGATCTTTCATCCGGTTAAGCAACACTGTGTTTGAAACTTTTCATGGTACACTTGCTTAGATTTCCTTTCTTTGGTATCTTTATGAGGTATCTTTCTTTCCAGTCTGCCGGTGGCAATTGTTCTCTCCACTGAAACTTCCTGAATAGAACGTGGAGCATGCTTGCAGTTACTTCTATGTCTAACTGCAGTGTTTCATCTGGCATGTTGTCAGGTCGTTCTGCTTCCCCACTCTTTATTTGTCTGGTGGCCTTCCTAATTTCCTCGATCGTTGGTGGAGCGAAATCCATAGTCTGTGTGCTGCTTCGATTTCCGCTTAAACCAGTGGGGCTACTCTATTCAAGAGTCCTTCAAAGTCCTCTACCTACTTGTTCCATTGTTCTTGAATCTCAGTGATTGACTTACCCTCTTTGTTCTTGACTGTTCTCTATGGTTTACAATATTCGCCTGCTAGTTTCGTCATTGTATCATATTTCCTGCTCTTTTAGCTTTTTCCGTTGGCGTTGTTAGATTTTTTATGTATTTTCGCTCGTCAGCTCCAATTTTCCTCTTCACTCTTTTGTTTGCTTCTGTATGTTCAGCCTGTGCCTTGACTTGTTCTGCTTTTGTTCGACTGTTGTTAAGCGCTGCCTTTTTGTTTTTTCTTTCTTGAATCCTATTAAGGGTTTCGATCGAGATTCATTCCTTATGATAATACTTCTTACGGCCCAGAACCTTCTGACATGTTGAAGTTAGTGCTTGTTTGATCCCTTCCCAGTTGTTCTTCATGGTAGCTTCTTTTTAAGTTTATCCTGTAAGGCTTGGAACCTGTTGCTGAGAGCTATCTTGAATTTATTGAGTTAGTCAGTATTCTGAAGGAAAGCTGTATTAAACATTTGCAATGTTTCTCCAGTTGTCTAGTGTCTCATTAGTTTCAGTTTCATTTTGGCCACAATCAGATGGTGATCTTAAGCCATGTCAGCCCCTCTCTTGGTTCTCATATCTTCCAAGTGACCTGAATTTTAAATTCGAATATGATCGATCTGTTTCTCTGTAGCGTGATCCGATGAGAAACATGTAGCTTTGTGCATCTGTTCGTGGAGGAACATAGTGTCGAACAAACATTTTGTTGAATGCATATAAATCTGCAAATCCCTTACCATTTTCCCAGTCCATGTCGTCTCATGGTATTTTCATACCTAATGTTGTCCATTCCGATATTGGCGTTTAGGTCTCTTATCTGGATGGTCAAGTCCTTTTCTGAACATTTCTCTACGATCGATTGCAACCTTTTATAAGACTGATTTTTATGATTGGTCGGCGCACAGAACTGGGTAACATTCATTATGATCCCGTTCATCTTTTTTTTCAAGAATGCTTAGATGGTCCTGGATCCATGAGATTCTCATCCTGTAAGTGCTTCTCTGGATAGAATCAGTTCAACTCCTTGTGTGCTCAAAGGGTTTTCTTCATAACTGAAGTACAACAGAATCTCTCCTGAACTTAAACTTTTCTGTTCAGCATCTGTTAGTGAACTGTAATGACTACTGGATTCAAGAAACTGTCTAATTACGATAACACTTGAACATAAAGTTCCGAATGTTTTTTGGGGAATATTCTAGCTAGAAATATGGGCAATGTTACCAAACGATAAAAACGCAGCTGGAAATGAAATAATCCATTCATTACCGACCAGTAAGTTTTATATATATATATATATATATATATATATATATATATATATATATATATATATAAAGCATACGATAAATTACCTTAATCTCTTTATACTATTGTCTGTAGAACCCCACTGACCAACAATATCCACTTGTTTACTCGGAAAGCTATCAGGTGGTGCTTCATCATAAAAAGGGAGTGAATGATGTGGTGGTGGGTTGGATCTTTTAGATCGTAGTTTGTCATGAAATGGTTGTTTGGACAAAACTGGGGAAGACGAGATGTGTCGGGCAACGTCACGAAATCTTGGTATTCTGCACGTCAATCGCAGTGACATTTAAGTGATAACAACAGCTAAAGCGTTTGAGAAAACACATGTATTACAAAACCAATAGAAAAAATATATATCAGTAGTATATTTTGACGTTTGGAATCATGCAATTCGAAACTTAAATAAAATTACACATTGTGCTTTAGACACTACAAAGGAGGTAAATATTTGAGCTGGATATATGGTGAAAAATAAGTTAGTGGTAAAATTAATATATTGATAAACCAATCAAAATTACGCTAGCCGTTAGATTTACGGGAAACTCAGTGATTTTCGACAGCACAGAAGCATATTACATACCTCTACTCAGAGCTGAATATATTAGGGATCGAAAAGGAGGGTAACTTTGTAGCATCTCGTAGTTCAAATGACATGTGAAAACAAAACAACACGATACTAGCTCTTTCTTGATATAAATTTCTTTTAAACCCATACGTTTTTTTTTGGAAAAAAAACATACATAACTTGTACGTTTTTGATCTTTTTCCTTTACTCGAAATATAATCCAATATAAATATATTGTTGCTGAGGAAATTTCGCCTTATATTGCTTAAAAAGGTTATAAAACTCTTTTAACCCGTCAGTTTATTAGTCTTGCAAGTCTTGTGTAGAAACACTACATAAAGTCGCTAGAAGTAATCTTCTAAAGGATTTTTAGGATGTTAAACGGCTTACCCACATACATATATATTAGATAGGAAACGTATGGAGCAACTATTCTGAACCTAGCCCGATTATAAGCCATAAACTCTCTGTAAAGTGTGAAGACGTTGAACAGAAAGTGATCTGGCGACAGATAAGAGATATTCAACATCTTGTCTTTACAATAGCGGTGCACATTGACCACTAATATATGAGTATGAACCAAAGTCATCTCTAAGTCTTTTCTCTCGGCACGATCCCAAGTTGAGACAAATATAAAGCTCTAGGGACTCAAATAATTTGTCTTATAAGACATCAGAATAGGAATACTTGATTACTTGGCAAGTACATACATATAAATTCGTATCAAAAACTTTTAGTACGCTGATTAATTTACTATAGTTGTATCCACATTTGTTACTTACTTTTTTAAAAGAATATAAACCAGGAGAACGTTTACTTTTGTGATATTCGCAATCTACTGAACAACAGATTACTTTGTGTAGCGCAGTACATCAAATAAATGTACAGACGGGTCAGATGATTGTGGATTGAATAGAGAAACATTCATTTGACTAAACTGAGCCTGGCTGTAGTAAGTCGTAGTTGAGTCCAAGTGGAGGCTGAAGTATGCGTAAAGGGCAGAAATTAAAACACCTTGGTTTTGAAATTATTTAAGACATCGAGAAGATTCAGTATAACCTGTGTTACTTCGTCTTCTTCGTTTGAAGAAGTCTAAGTCTTTTTTAGACTAAGTCAGATTTCAAGTGAATTCAAGACTTCAACCCTTTTGAAGAAGAGAAGTAAATGCTCACAATCTAGTCTATTATATGATGCCTGGAATTCCCGAGTGCTTCTACTGTGGACTGGACTTAAAAAATACTCATGAATGCTTATAATGCTGTCGGTCGAAATAAAAAAGCCTCTGAGCTTCATAATTTTTAAATAGTATAGATCCTGTGTTTTCAAGGATTGAAACCATTTTAAACCACGAAAGTTAGTTGGTTGCTACCCACTGAACTTAGAAGTCATGTCAAATCCTCTTAATAGCATATCTCTCCTCTCGGTTGCAGTCTTGACTTGGAAGCCCTATATCACTAGCAGCAGATAACAGCCCGAAGACAACTTCCAAGTGATGTTGTCCACAGAGGTTAAAGGGAATAAAAGTTCAAGGTTGGATACGAATCCACTGGTCAGCTTAGTCTCGTTCGGCACGGACTGGCGGGTAAGCCACGGATTTTCGCGCACACGTTACATATTGTCGTGGATTTTTTGTGTCGTTATTTATCAGCTATTAACAGGCTTTTTTGCATGACACATCAATTTCTGTATTGCTAGTGCTTGTAACATAGTTTTTATTCCAATTTATTGGCAGTTTGACGTATTTCTTGCTCACCCCGTAAGTAAATCTGAAGTTAGCTTAATATAGTTATTTGTAACAATACAAACTCAAGCAAGTAAAGTTCACCGTGTTTCTAGTCAAAAAATACACCACAGACTGAGTTTTCATGAAAATGAACCGTAAAATCTTTTACATATGGTTCACCTCCTTGATTGCGGTGACGGTGAACATGGATGTCGGTAGTTGTTTATAAAATGTAAGTAGAAGCAATCAAGCGTTAACCTAATTGTGAATATTATATAACTTGCTTGTATTTAGCCATAAAAAGTTATATCCATTAGAGGTGCCATTGTTTTGTACTGAAGTGACATAATTATGTAACGTATCTGAGAAAAGAAATATGTGAGTAACAATTGACGTTTATAGTGTTGTCCAGCGGCTTTCTGAACGTCTGCAGTAATAGTGTATAACACCACATCAAGTAGGAACAAAATCTTCATGAATAAAACGATCGATGTTTCTTGTGAGAATGGTGACACAAACATGCTCTTTAGTTAATACTGATTTGTGACATGTCTGTTATAGGGTTCACAAATGAGTTATTATATACTCTTCACTCCGTCTCGGTAATACAGTTGTTGTGTTACTTAGGAAGTTATGAATGAATGTCACTACTTGTTAATAAAAGACTTATAGGCACAGTCTGTTACTTGCTATTTGAATAACTTATTGAATATGATACTGAGAACAAAGTTTAATTGTTTGTCTCAAAACGGATTTGTTGTTTTTCAGAATAGTATGAAGCTTATGGAATTTAGGATTACGGAAGATCGTGTGGAAAATCGGTTTACAAGTTTACGATAACTGTTTTATATTACCTACTGCTATGCTCATTCATCTAATGAATTATTTAAATATAAATATAACAACCATACGCAGTGTTTTATATTGTAAATCCTGTAAGTTTGTATAATTATGGTCTAAATAAAGCCAAAACAAATATTGACGCAGAATCATGTGACTGCATTACATTTCGTGGTTTCTCATAAGTTGCATACAACTGAATATGCATTATAATTTAAGATTGAGGGAAGAAATAGTATGAAAGATAATAGAAAGCAAAGAATTGGAATGACCTAGGTTATCAATAATAACTATACATATGTATATGCTTGAACAGGTCAAAGGTCATTTGGTGTTAGACTTAAGGGAACATAAAGGATGGGTAGTGTAATAGTCGAGTGAAGCTCAGAAGCATATAAGATAAATTGTGTGATAATTCTAGATGTAGTGAATAAATCAGTGAATTAAGAACTAATAAGATAAGTGAAGACAATCTGAAGAGTTAACATAATTTAGCAAAGAAGTGTGAGTGGAAGGGTGGTCTAAGGATTACGTAATCCATCTTATCAAGGAACTAGCTGCATGAAATTGTCTAGTTCCATACTAATACTAACTTGATAATGGACGTAATCTGACAACGGAAAATATGTAAGGCGGTTGTTTAGTCTGTAAGGTTTTACGTGGAAGTCGCATTATTGTTTTATTTGACTCGTTGATTCCTCACAATGAACAACGATATAGCGCTACGTTCTAACGACAGTTCGTAACTAATACAGTAGTACAAATTCTTAATTTTCACGCACAATTATTCGTTAAAGCGATTGGTAAACCTCCCCATGAAAGTATGAAGAAGACGAAAATAAAAAATGAGAAAAAGTTTATTGACTTTTCATGACTACTAAATTAGAAAGATAAGTTTACAAGTTGTATAAATAGCCACAAAGAACTGTTAATCGTAAACCTGCTGTCTAGCTGTTTATAATTCTTAAGTAAAAATTGTAGACTTTTCTCTCCACCTGATTCGCGAAGCGTTCACCATATTTCTCAACAATTTGTTGTTTGCACATTCTTTGTAGACGTTGAAGTTGTGTATATTCTTTACTCCGTCTCGGTAATGAAATTCCTGTGTTGTTTTGTAAATTGTGCGTATTGTCTAATTTCCATCTGCAGCAACACCTAAGAAGTTGATGAGCTATGCAGTTTATATTTTATAATTTAAATAGCTTACCTGTTAGATTTCGTCTTTTAATATATGCCAGCAGGAGATGGCGGCACGGATATCGACACATATTAAACGTGCTACAATTGCATTCACAAATACTTACATCCACTTCGTAATGTTGTCCGCGGTCAAGCATAAACAACCACTCGCCGCTTTCATATTCTAAGTTAACGAAACGCATTTTTTTAAGTTCGTATAACACTTTGGATCTTGCGAATTGGGTCAACATGTTCAGCAAGGGTATAAGACGCTGTGGAGCATCATAATTGTATGTTCGTCCACTGATTATTTGGTCTTCAATCCTTTTTCTAGAGAATGTCATTGAACTCAACTTAAAAGCCTTGTACATGCATTTGTGCAAGCTGTCGCTTTTGCGTACATATCTTTTTATCTGCCTATTGAATGACTCAACACGATTATTCGTGTTGTTGCTCAAAGTTAATACATCGGCACGCTTTTCTTTTTGTGTCCATGCAAACATAACAGTTCGACCTCGACCCCAATTGTCTGTCACCACTAACTGGAATAATGAATATCTACATAGTAGAACAAAACGAAAATCATATTCACTTTTTATTATTAGTTTTATAAGTAGAATCAATACACACGACTTCGGGATATTGACTGTACAGCCGTATCTGATCATAACTGCTGTAGCATATCGCCGTAATACATCCATTTTCTGCATGCTCTCTAACTTCACCGTTTTGTCGCATCATCTGCAATACCTGCTTCCGAGTCCAACCTGAAATATATTTATATACACTTACCAGTGGAGAGTTCAACTTTCATATTTTTCACATCAGCAGCGGTCACCTGCTTACCTGTTCTTTCCTTAATACTTTCGATAACTTCGTCCGTCGACTGACAGTGCAATATAACTGGTTTCAAGTTTTCTTTTTCTTCTGATGACAATCGTTTACTCAACGGATCACAAACCATCCACGAACTAGTACACCGATGGTTGTGAGACATGTAAGATTTTATAACGTATTGTTGACCCTCCAATCTTACGCGAAACATCGATTGGCAATTTAAAAATTTAGACCTTAAATGTAACACATTAGTTAGAGTCCTCACGGTTTTTTATTCACATTCAGACCTTCTGATTTACGTTTACGACCAAACGTGCAACGAAACACTACGAACAAGTATTTATATCTCACATCCTTCAACAATCTACTTTCTGCGTGAACATAGTGTGTATGGGTCATCTGAGAAAACATAGGTTTATCCTATCATACTTTAATCCAGCCTCCGAATCTCTTGTTCAGTATAATACGTTGGAACGCGTCGCTTACGTTCACTGAAATTTCACTTGAGCATGAAGCACTAGAGACAACATACAATAGTTATTGAAAAAAGGTTATTCCTTGAAAAAAATTAACTGAAGGAAGAACAACAAATATTTAGGACTTACCCTTCAGTTGACATTTCGTCTTAACTCACAAAAACTAGGCGCATCTATAACCTTTTACGTTATTTTATCTTTCTTACGTTGTTTTCTGGACCTTATCAACAAATTATATATAGCTGTTGACTTTCACTACAGCACTTAGGACCACAGATCAAGTTTCGAAGGAACAACAGAGCTAAAGTGTGCACTACAAAACAGAAAATACTCAGTTAATGCTCTTAGCAGTTATTTAGTGTTTATTATGCATCAAAAGATGACTTATATATGGAAACATTTAATACTCATAGGACCCAACACACACACGGCAATTGAAATACGGAATGCCCGCTTCCAGTCAGCGCGTTCAAGGTCGTTGAAACGAAACGGCGGACAGATTTGAAAGGGATTACCGTTTATACCTTGCCGTCTCGTTCTAACCCCTGTCTTTCAAATCTTCCGCGCAAGTTTTTTCGCTCGTTTTAAGTTTTTATTCATACTCTTCACAACTTTATTTGTTACGTCCAGCCTATTTTGCTCTAGTTTCCGCGTAGATTCCAGTGTTGCGTGGTGATTGGTTGCTTCCCATACTCTTGTAGTTTAAAGACCGACATTACATCTAATGACTACAAATACAAAATGATGAACGAAATAACGCACCAGGGAGTACTGTCACTTAGTTATTCAATAATGTCCTTACGATCGAATGGTAATAATGATATGATTTAACAGTAAAAATTTACTCCTGACGTATCACGTTCGGTCCATCTT